CCCCTTTTTGAAAATAGGGACAACATTTGCCCTCCTCCAGTCTGCCGGGACTTCGCCTGTTCTCAAAGATGACTGCCAGTGGTTCTGAGATCACATCTGCCAGTTCTTTTAATACTCTTGGATGCAGTTCATCTGGCCCTGGAGACTTGAATACATCTAAACTAGCCAAGTATTCTTGTACTATCTCCTTAGTTATTCTGGGCTGTGTTTCCTCTGCTGAATTATTTGCTCCAAATTCTTCAGGTCGGGCATTGTTTTCTTTATCGGAGAAGACTGAGGCAAAGAAGGCATTGAGGAGTTCAGCCCTTTCTGTGTCCCCTGTTTGCATTTCACCATCTTCTCCTCTGAGTGACCCCACTGTTTCCTTGTTCTTCCTTTAGCGACTGAAATCCCCAGAAAAGCCTATTTTGTTGCTTTTAACCTCTCTAGCAAGCCTGAGTTCATTCTGTGCTTTAGCTTTTCTGACTTTGTGTCTACACGTGCTGGCTATTTGTTTGAATTCCTCTTTGGTGGTTTCCCCCCTTTTCCATTTTTTGTACACATCCTTTTTTAATCTTAACTCTGTTAAAAGTTATTTAGATAGCCACCCTGGCTTCTTTAGGCACCTTCCATGTTTCTGTCTCATTGGTATTGCCTGACGTTGTGCTTTTACTATCTCCCTCTTAACAAACTCCCAGCCATCATGAACTCCCTTTCCTTTTAGTATTACTGTCCATGGGATCTCACCCAGCACTTCCCTAAGTTTTATGAAGTCGGCTTTCTTAAAGTCAATAAATTGAGTCCTAGTATGCTTGGCTGCTCCTTTCCGCTGTATAGTAAACTTCAGAAGAGCATGATCACTCGCGCCTAATGATCCTTCCACTTCTACCCCACTAACCAGGTCATCAACATTGGTTAGGACCAGATCTAAATGGCTGTTCCTCTTGTTGCTTCTCCCACTTTCTGGACAATGAAGTTGTCTGCAAGGCCAGTGAGGAATCTGTTTGACCTTATGCTCTTGGCTGAGTTTGACATCCAACAAATATCCGGGTAATTGAAGTCCCCCATTACTACTATCTCCCTTCCTTTTGCATGCTTGGTCATCTGTTCCAGGAAGGCATCATCTATGTCCTCCGTTTGGCTTGGGGATCTTTAGTAAACTCCCACAATGAGGTCACTGTTATTCTTCTCTCCCTTAATTTTGACTCAAATGCTCTCACTTTGGCTTTGAGGTTCTAAATCTTGGATCTCTTCACAGGTATACACATCCCTGACATATAACACCACTCCTCCTCCTTTCTTGTCTGGTCTGTTTCTCTGAAATAGATTGTATCCCTCCATTATTACATTCCAATCGTGGGACTTATCCCACCAGGTTTCAGTGATGCCTATTATGTCATATTTAGTTTGCTGTACCAAGAGCTCAAGCTCATCTTGTTTATTTCCCATGCTTTGTGCATTAGTGTACAGACATTGAAGTCCATTAATCATTCCCCCGTGTCTCTTATTTAAGGATTTTGTCCTCCCACCACTAGGTCTGCGTGCTGTTTGCTCCATTTGGTCTATGACATTTGGATGATCATCTTCATCAGTTGATAGACTCCTACCTTCAGGAGCACTGTCTCTCTCCCCCACATTAGTCAGTCTAAAGCCCTCCTGATGAGGTTTCTGAGATTTTTGGCAAAAACGTTCCTCCCAACCGTTGTGAGGTGCAGCCCATCGCTTGCCAGAAGTCCATCTTCAAGAAACTGCAGTCCGTGATCTAAGAATCCAAACCATTCCTGTTTACACCATTTGCGAAGCCAGCTGTTCACTTCCACAATTTTTCCCTCTCTCCCTGGGCCACGTTGTTCAACTGGGAGGACAGATGAGATGACAATTTGTGCATTTAATTGCTTCAATTTCCTGCCCAGAGCCTCGTAGTCTCTTTTGATCTTTGGAGGCTATTGCTTGCAGTGTCATTGGTTCCCACATGAACCAAGAGGAAGGGGTATTTGTCAGTGGGTTTTATGATTCCTTGCAGTCGTTCAGATACATCTTGGATCTTAGCCCCGGGGAGACAGCACACTTCCCGAGACATCTAGTCAGGCCCACAGATCACTGCTTCTGTTCCCCTCAGTAGGAATCCCCTATCACCACTACACGCCTCCTCTTAGGTTTGGTCGGGGTTCTTCTGTGAGTTGTCCGTTCCAAGGTCGCCTGCACATTCCCTGAGGACTGACTTTGCTGCTCGTCTTCATATACCTGATCGACTGTAATGAGGGAGAGATCCTCAAATGGAGTCTGCTCTTCGTCTTCCATGCTAGGGGAGAGGACCTCAAAGCGATTGTGTATTTCTAAACAATCAGAGCGAACCCTGGGCCTCCTACTTCTTTGAGTCACGTTTCTCCATATATCTGGCTCCTGTGTTGGTGAACTAGCCTCTTTCTCAGGGGAGTCCCCTGTCTCCTCCTTGGTGGAGACGGTGTGCTCTGTTGCTTCCAAGAAGAGCTCCAGCTCTCTAATTCTTTGGAGCGTAGCTACACGTTCCTCCAGTTGCTGGACTTTGTCTTTTAAGAGGGCAATCAACATGCAATTGCTGCAGGTAAAGCTGCCTGCAACCTTTGGCAAGATGGCAAACATTGCGCAGGAACTGCAGGCGACTGCAGCTGTTCCCTCCCCCTCCATCTTGAGAACGTGTTGTTGGGGGTGGCTACAGCGGTCCTCCATCATAAAAAGCGTGAAGACAGGACAAATAACTCCCCCCCCAAAAAAAACCTAGGTCTCCCCCAACAAACGTTTGAGAGTATCGAGCAGTAAAGCATATTGGATAAGGAGCAAATAATAACAAAGTCCCCTCTTTGCTTGGCAGAGTCAGAGTAGACACTACCGGGCTGTGGCAGGTGGAGACATGCTCTGACCTAGTGTAAAGAAACTTCTAATTTTTCTGTTGAGAGGCCTGCTGGCTGTATGCTCGGTAGCTACCTAAGTTCTGCCTGTCTTGGTTTGGATCTCATATAACCCCTGTTTTAAAACAGTTGCACTGGTTGCTAGTTCATTTCCAGGCCCAATTCAAGGTATTTAGGTTAGTGTTTAAAGCCCTAAATGACTCAGGCTCCAAATACGTAAAAGGCCGCCTTCTTCCCTACAGACCCTCTCGGGTGATAAGATCAACAGAGATTACTCCCTTAGTTGCTCTTTGGTTTTGGCCTGCAAGAGGGTATTCTCTGTGGCAGCCATCCCACAGAGATGTGCCTGGCACCTTCATTATATAGCTTTTGGCAAAGACTAATAAGAATGAGGCGTCTTCCCATCCTTGGAGTGGTGGTTATGCCTCCTAGGTCCTGCAGAGTGTGGGTGGTGGGAGCCAGTCCCATAAGCGAATGCCAAGCTGAGCTTTGTGTTGAAAGTTGCCTCAGCCACAGAGTTGCCTTATTTCTTCTGCTTTTTTATTACTTGCTTTTCAAGGCCAGTCACTCCCAGAGACACACACAGAGGTCTTTGAACTTAGCTTGTAATTGTGTAGCTGAAATGTGGTCTCGTTATTCTCCCCCCCCCCAATAGGATGGCACAGAGGTGGTGGTCAAAGAAGTCTTGGCGGGAGACAGTGTCCACAGCCTCCTCAGCATATTGGATGTCATCACGGTAAGCCAAAGCCCATGACTCTGGCTCTTGGATGTATTTATCCTTTGATACAAAGGTGGGGAACTATAGGCCCAGGAGCTGAATATGGCCTTCTAAATCTCTCTGGTTCTGGGACTGTTTCAGGCCACATCCCTCACCAGCCTTGTGTTACCCTCTCCTTGAGCGTCTTTGCCTGATCATGCTTTTCATTTGCTTGGATGGAGACTAGAGAGGGGTGTGTTTGTGAGTGAACTTTAGGCTTGTAGAATTTCCCTCCTCCTTTATCTTCTTCCTCCTCCTCCTCCTGCATCACTTAGGAGGTTTATTTTGACTTTGTGTGTTAATTTGCAAAAAAAGTTAGACCGCTGAATGTTTTTCTTGCCTAGATGTAGTCATCGGGTCATTTGTGGCTCCTTTTCGACTTGGAAGGGAGAACATGTACTCAGTTTCTTTAATTGTGTGCATTTTACCCTCATAAATTTGCCACAAAGCAAGCCTGGACTCACCATAGGCAAGTGATGCTCTTCCAGACTACATCACATAGCCCAAATGTCTGCCTGGTGTGTTTAAGATAAGTGCATTACTCTAAGCAGCCCTCTGCAAGCCAGAGTCTTTCGCCTCTTTCTCCCTTTGGAGCTGCCAGCAGGGCTTAAAAACTAAGCCTCCCAAGTTCCTGCCCTGGGTTGTGCTTTTTAAAAACAAAACAAAAAAACCCTTCTGTAATTAAGAATCGATCAGCCAGTTGGGAGCTGAGCAGGATTACTCAGATGGATTACTTTCTGTTTCCCTCCACTAGCTGTGGGAAGAATGTGCTCTGAAGAGAGTTTTTTTCTTGGTGTGGGATGTGATGCTAGGGGATTCAGGAGTTAGATGCTAGGAAGGTCCAATGATAGTGGGGGCAGAAAGGAGTGAGGGCTTACAAATAAGTACAAAGGAAGTTGCTTTCAAGTAGTGCCAGCTGATTACAGTTTTTGGGTTAGGGAAGGGTTGCTGCTATTATTTGTATTGTTTTTCTGTTCCTTATTAATTTATATACTGTTTATATACCAAAATGGCTTCTAGGCAGGTTCTCCCCCCCCCCAACTATAGTATCAATTAAAATACATGATAACAATTCCATTGGGGGCACTAAAACTTCCTTAATTTAACACACACAAGAAAACTATTTAAAAAGTTTGTTTGTTTGTTTATGACATTTATATCCCACCTTTTCCCTACAAGAATCTCAAGGTGGTACACATGGTTCTCTCCCTCCTCATTTAATCCCCACAACAGCCCTGTATCTTCCAGGTCCTATTCTGACGCTCTGACCACTGCACAACACCAGCTCTCAAAATCCATTCCTCGATACATAGACTCCATATGGACTGGTGGCAGCCCTCTAGAGTTTCAGGCAAGGGCATTTCCCAGCCCTACCTGGAGATCCCATTGGGGACTGAACCTAGGACCTTCTGCATGCAAAGCAGATCCTGTACCACTGAGCTACGACCCCTCCTCAGTTATTTCAATAATGATAATTATGATAACAACAATTAAAGGTACAGTGGTGCCCCGCAAGACGAATGCCTCGCAAGACGGAAAAACCGCTAGACGAAAGGGTTTTCCGTTTTGAAGTTGCTTCGCAGGACGAATTCCCCTATGGGCTTGCTTCGCAAGACGAAAATACCTTGCGAGTCTTGAGATTTTTTTTCGCTTCCCCCCCCCTTTATCTAATCTGCTAAGCCTTTAATAGCCTTTAATAGCCTTTTAGCAGCTAATCCCCTAAGCCTTTAAGCCTTTAATAGCCGCTAAACCGCTAATAGCGCTAATAGCGCTAATCCGTCAATGGGCTTGCTTCGCAAGACGAAAAAACCGCTAGACGAAGACTCTCGCGGAACGGATTAATTTCGTCTTGCGAGGCACCACTGTAAAGGGACCGCTGACCGTTAAGTCCAATTGCGGATGACTCTGGGGTTGCGGCGCTCATCTCGTTTTACTGGCCAAGGGAGGTGGCGTTTGTCCGCAGACAGTTTTTCTGGGTCATGTGGCCAGCATGACTAAGCCGCTTCTTGCGAAGTTAGAGCAGTGCACGGAAACACTGTTTACCTTCCTACCTATTTATCTACTTGCACTTTGACATGCTTTTGAACTGCTAGGTTGGCAGGAGCAGGGACCGAGCAATGGGAGCTCACCCCGTCGCGGGGATTCGAACCGCTGACCTTCTGATTGGCAAGCCCTAGGCTCTGTGGTTTAGACCACAGCGCCACCCGCGTCTCATAACAACAATTACACCAGTTGAAAAACTCATAGTTAAAACAATAAAATCAAGATGTTCAGGTCAGGAGAACAGTTGCCTTAAACAGGTGTGTCTTCAGGAGCCAGCAGAATTACACCATTGGGGGAGGACATTCCACAACACTGGTGTCACCAGTGGGAAAAGCCCACTTCCCCTCATGCTCATAATTTCAGTCTACAAGGACTGCCTGAAGAGTTTTTTTCCTACTTTTATTTATGGTTTCAAGGAATGGTTTTAATGTTAATGCTCTGATGTTTTTAAACTTACGTCAAACCTCTACTTACCACCATCTCTTCTTACGGTCATTCTGAGTAGCGACCGCTGCAAACCCGGAAGTAACCGGCGGGTTTGCCGCTGTTCGCGCATGTGCAGGAACGGTGATTACCGTTCACACATGCACAGAAGTGGGCAATCGCCACCTGTACACAACGGCAGCTCTCCCAGCGACCCGTTTCTACCTCTGGACAGACCTCCATAATGGATTATGGTCGCAAATAGAGATTCCACTGTATTTCCTTTTTGTCAATAATTGTAATGTATATTATATGTTATTTGTAAATGTTTTATTTACAATTAAGTAGCATGCACATTTTGTCAATAAGTAAAAATACAAAATTATTGCATAAATATTTATTGTTAACATTTCATTTAAATGGTACTGAACCTGTTTCCCAGATTTACCAAAGTGTTGAGTACTTGTTAAGGGAATACTGCATTTTAATTAGAGTTCTCTCAAAGTCCTGGAAGGACAAGGCATAAACTTTGACATGAAATGTCTTCCTTGTTAGGGTCATCCTGCCCCATATAAAACAGTTTCTGCTCGGGCGGCGATGCCTTCGACGATCTTGCGCCTCCCAGCCAATGCATTCCAGGATGTCTTCCAGAAATATCCTGAGACCCTTGTTAGAGTTGTGCAGGTGAGGCTGGTGTTGTTACGGGAGGGAGTCCTCTTAGCTTTAAGGCAGGTATGGGGAATCTTTGGCCTTCCCACCATTGTTGCTTAATTGCTGCTCCCATCAACCCCAGCAAACATAGCCAATAGCCAGGGATGATGGGAGTCGTACTTTACCAGCATTTGAAGGGCCACAGGTTTTCCACACCTGCTTTAAAACAATGGGTGTGGAAATGGCCTGAGGGTGAGGCAAGGTGTCCTCCATAGGTGTCCAGATTGGAGGCGACGACACAAAGATGTACCGTATTTTTCCATGTATAAGACGCCCCTTATTTTGGGGGACTCAAATTTAAGAAAATGTGGGGAGAAGGCCCAGAGTTGTTCAACTTTGGGGGGGGGGGGGAGGGTTGCCCAGAGTTGTTGAGCTTTTTGGGGAGGGTTGCACAAAGTTGCACGCTAAGGGTCTGCCCAATCGCCACCAACAGCTGGCAAACGCACACACAATTGCCACAGCGGAAACCAATCCACAGCAGCCCTTGCCACAGCTACAAATCAACCACCCAATCGCCGCTGACAACCTCCTGCTCGCGGCTGCAACTATTCACCCGTTTCCCCCCTCTGCACTATCTGTGTATCAGACGAGCCCTGATTTTGAAGATTATTTTAAAGTTAAAAAACATCGTCTTATACACGGAAAAGTACGGTAGATTCCTTGGGAAGTTCTATCCCCTTTTCCTCTTGGGGGCAGGGAGGTGAGATATGAAAATGCCCCTGTGCTCTTCTGAGCATCCATCTCAATTCCTCTCTCCAGGAACAGAGTTTGAACCTAACTATAGTCAGGGTTTCCCTTGAGTCCAGGTGTGGCTAACCGTTTGTCTGTACCTGATCCTCCTGCTCTTAGATAATCATGGTGAGGCTCCAAAGAGTGACCTTCCTGGCGTTGCACAACTACCTTGGACTGACTACCGAACTCTTCAGCTCTGTAAGTGAAGACTGCTCAATTAGAAGCAAAGAGAATTATATACTTCCAGTTAGGCAAACACCAGCTTAGTCTCATTTTTTGTACTGAGACCCAGCATGAGTCAGTGGTTGTTATTTGTTTGTTTAAAGCATTTTTATGTCAAACCAGCTCCTGAAAGAGCTTGCCTAAAATAAGTGCAGTCAAGACTGTGCCTGCCCACAAACTTGCATTTTAAATACACAATGCAAAAAGAAAATCGGGGCTGGGGGTGGGTGGGGAGGATAAGATGCAAACTTGGAACCTGTTCTTAGAATTAGTGTTGGACTCGGGTGGAAGAGACTTGGGTTCTAATCACTGTGTGACCCTGGAGACCTTATTTCTCTACCTAGTCTACTTCACAAAGCTTTTATGGGGATAAAATAGTACCATCACCACCACCCAGAGGATGTTAAGGAAATAAGGAGAGCCTTGCTGGATCAGAGCAATGTTCCAGCTCATTCAGCATTCTACTTCCTGCAATGGTCAGCAGGAAGCCTCTGAGAAGTCCACAAGCAGTGCAGGAAAGCAACAGCCTTTCTCAGTTTTGCACCCTGGCAACTGAATACTACATGAATTTTTCTTGGTCCTCAAGCCCATGATCATCTTGAATTCTTGTGGCTGTGAGTTCCATAGATTAATTCTTCCTTGTGTGAATAAGTCCTTTGTCTTGTCCATCCAGAACCTGCTATCAAACAATTTCATTGTCTGATGATGCCAGGTTCTGGCATCCTAAGGAAGAATGCAACTTTACACTTCACATGACATGTGCTTTTAGGAAATGCCGGTCATGTCCCCCCTTACCTCTCCCAACTCACTGGGAGTGAGACTCAAATGCAAGCAACAAACCCATGTAGAGACTTGTGCTAGGAAAAAGGTGTCATAGGAAGTGTTAATGAGCCATTTTCTTCCATTAGTGAGCTACAGAGCCCATAATGACTCCTATAGTCCTTTAATCCAGGGGTGGCACACCTTCTGCATGTGCTCCCCTCCTTGGCCTAGTTTCATGCAAGTGGAGAAAAGCTCCACTTCAAGGCAATCATTTCAGACCCCTGGCAAGAATGATCTGCCTCTTCCCCTGGCAGCAAATTGGGCAGGGCAGGTGAGGGGGGGGGAGAGAGAGAGAGAGAGAGAGAGAGAGAGGAGGCCATGGTTCCCCCTCCATCACCAGCAAGCAGATTACCTCCAAGGGACCCTGGCCCATGAGAGACTCCCACCCCCCAATTTGTGTTACAGTAGCTTTGGCCGAATCTGCTGCTTAGCCTAGAGAGTGATGTAGATACCCATTCATTTGAGCACAGGCCATCAACGCCTGTGGCACATCCTACTGGTGTGAGATGAGGAGATACATTTTCCATAATAGTTTTCAGTAGTGGCATTGAGTTTAGTACACAGCACAAGAGTCTGTTAGGTGCAATAATGTCTATACTGACCACCAGGAGCAGCAGCTCTATGGCGTTTCAGACCAGGAGTCTCTCTCCAGGGATTGAGCCTGGAACCTTTTGCATGCAAAGCAGGTGCTCTATCCCTAAGCTCTTGGACTGTGGTGCTTCCTGATTTGAATGATACCTTCTTGGGTCTCTGCACTGTGCCCCTAATAGGAGAGCCAGGCCATCCCACTGGTGTCAGTTGCAAGCGTGACCTCTGGGGCAAATGCTGGCAGAGCAGTGAAGAGGCAGGTGTCCAATCTGTCAGAGGAGGACCGGGTGGAGAAGCTGGAGAAAACAGGTTCTGCAGAGACGGGTAAGGATTACCTAAGTGGGAATTGCTCTTGGGAACAACCTTGAGGGACATGGTTTTTCAGCTCTGTGTCAGCAAATACTCCTTTCTAAACTGGGGGTGTAGAACCTTAGGCTTGGGGCCTGGGGTCATTCAAGCCTCTTTATCTGCCCCTCAGGACTCTTTTCAGGTCAGGCTCCTCCCCTCATGCCACCTCTCTTCACCAGCCTTCCTTTATGCCCTCCTTGAGCTGCAATGTGTCCTTGAGCTCTGATGTTAATGTGCCAACTTTCTGGGGCCTTGGTTGCCAGAGCACCCACAAATTTCCCCATGAAGGGACTGAACACCCACAAATTTCAGTGCCAGGGCCATGCATGCTGCGTGGCACCCACGGCCTCGGGCACCCACGGTCACAGGGCTAAGCTGGCACTCCTGGCTCTGATAATGCCTCTTGTTTGCCTGGCTAGAGAACAGATTGTGTGTAGAAACTAGCCTACTATAAAAAAGGTAAAATTGAAAGTTGTTTATTATTATTGCATTAGCCGAGTGGCCATAGCATGATATACATTGAAATAACAACATAAAATGGGGGTGGGGAGGTAGAGGTAG